TCTACGTGTCCGACATTTGTCCAGTCGATCTCTCGTCTCCTTTCTCGTCTCCTTCAAAGATCACAGAGTCCTTTACTCAACTAAACGTCGACTTCCTCCGTCCCCGATGGACAAAAACTAAAAAGATAAAAAGAATCTAACGAGGTTCAAATGTGACAACACAGACTCTTCTACATTTGAAGGTGTCGTTTAAAGCAACAGAAGAAGAAAGATTCATTTAAAAATGTTCCAAACATCGACAACAGAAAACATTTAAAATAATTTCATCAGAAGAAGATTCACACTTTCATTTATTCTCAAATTGTTCCCAAATTAGTTTACAGTAAACGAAGACAAAGTGTTTCCCGTCTGTTTCCGTGTGTGTGTGTGTGTGTGTGTGTGTGTGTGTGTGTGTGTGTGTGTGTGTGTGTGTGTGTGTGTGTGTGTGTGTGTGTGTGTGTGTGTGTGTGTGTGTGTGTGTGTGTGTGTGTGTGTGTGTGTGTGTGTGTGTGTGTGTGTGTGTGTGTGTGTGTGTGTGTGACAGCAGTGTTAGTCAGACCCCCCTTCCTCCCTGAGTCAACCACATAATAATCACATCTCTCTCTCTCTCTCTCTCTTTCCTCTTTTTGTCTCAGATTCTCGCCCTCCCCTCACACTTCTGTTGTCATTTATTTCTCTTCTTTCAACTTTTATTTTTTTCTTTCTATCTCTGTGTTTTCATTTCTTCTCTCAGTCATAGTCTTTATCTCGTCTTTCTTTCTTTTTCTCACCTTCACATCTTTGTTTTTAGCCTTAATCTCCCTTTCTCATACTCTTTTAACTATTTGCTGCTTTATTATTTATGATTTTACGAACAGTTTTTTCTCTTCTTTTGCGTTTTTGAAGTTTTTGTAAAGGTCACATATCCTCCTCCTCTTCAGTGTAAATAAGTGTCAGAGCTCCTTGAAACATGTGTGTGAAGTTTCTTGTTCTTAATCCACTCTGATCCTGTATTTGATCATGTCTATAAACCCCTCGATTTCAGCCCTGCTCAGAACAGGCTGTTTCTGTGTCTGTAACTTTAAATATGTAAATGTAAAATTGCTGAAATAAACTCCCCCCCCCCCCCCACCAGGCGACCTCTCATAGCTCGGCCATGTTGACCAGTGAGGGGGCGCACACCATGGAGCAGGACGACACGCGACAGGAAGCCAAGATGGCATCCACCGCCACCGCAGCATCCGGCTCGGACGGCGCCGAGACAACACAGGCGGACTCTGACGTCGACATGGAGCTGGACGTGGAGGAGGCAGACATGAGCCGGTGGACGGAGGCGGAGTTTGAGGACAAGTGCACGTACATCGTCAAGGACACAGCGCGGGAGGCGGGGCCAGACTATGACGCAGTGACGACATCAACGACAAGAGCCGAGATGTCGTTGCCCCGAAACCTGACCTTCAAACATCTGGCTGACGGCAAGGAGGTCAGACTAACAGACACACACACACACACACACACGCACACACACGCACACGCACACACACACACACACACACGCACACACACACACACATTGGCAGACAACTTTCTCTCCAGTCACAATTTTGCACACAGTGAGGCAGAGAAAGCGTCTGCAAACACACACACACACACACACACACACACACACACACACACACACACACACACACACACACACACACACACACACACACACACACACACACACACGCCGTGAGTCAGGCGTGGGTCATGTAATGAATCTGTGTGTGTGTACAACACCTGAAGCAAAATAATTTACACACCGAGTAACTGGAGCTGTGAGATTTCTTGACGACTTTATCGGCTCGTATCCGTCCATGAAACACACTTATCATGTGAGAAAACTACGATGGTTTAATCTAGAGGATCAGTGTTTAAAAACCAGAGAAGAAGAAAAGCGCTCTAAGAGATAGAAGCAGGAAACTGAGGAGGAGAAAGAGCGGGAAAATGTTCAAACGCAGTTTAAATCAAAGTGAGACGATGTGTGTAACATTTAAAAAGAGTGTAAAAAGAAAGAAAATCATGATTTAAAAGAAGAAAAAATCTTTTCAGTTATTGAAGCTGCTGCGGTACCTCTCCTCGCTGACAGGGGTCACTGTTCAGCATCTCCCCTCAGATGCTGAACAGTGTGAACACATCAGGGTTTTGCGTCGTCATCGTTCGTTTAAGACTTATTGGAGTCACACTCAGGAAATAAAAGATGGATTGGAGCCGGATGGAGAACTTTAGGAGGTTCTTCTTATCAGGCAGGAAAACAAAACAAATCTTCCTCAGTTAAGACTTCCTGGCGTCCCCAACAGCGACCCTGTTACTTTTTGACAAAGCTGAGTGGATAAAGTTTGAGTTATTGATCGGACAAATCAAAAAGTCAAATCGTCAAAGGTTGAAGCTTAGGTTAGATTAGATTGTGGGCTCGCAGGAAAAAGAGTCTCTGGTGAAGTCAGGAATTTAAAAAAATCATCTTTATTGTTCCTCATTCTTCAAACACACAAACAAAACTCACAATCGAGAGAGAAAAATTAGTATTCACAGAGTCCATTACAGATTTAAAAGTCGTCTCTGCAGATATGACAGAAGAAGAAGTGCACAAGGTCAAAAGGTCGTATTTTCAGTGAGTCTGTCTGAAAAGCTAAAGCGGTGTGATCGCATAGATTTCCTCGTCATGAGCTTATCAACGAGAAGCTGACGAGATGTGTTTAAGAGCTGATTGGCTATAAGAGAGAGAGAGAGGGAGAGGGGGAGGAGAGAGAGAAAGAGGGGGAGAGAGGGAGAGAGAGAGAGAGAGAGGAAAGGCTCAAGAAGCTCTGATCAAAGACGATGGCGTTCTGCCAACGTAACAGTCTGTTAATAAGTCAGAACCCTCTCTCACACACACACACACACACATATTGTCACACACACACACACACATATTGTCACACACACACACACACTCTTGTGTTGGTTCTCGTGGAGGGGAAAGGGGATTTTCCAAGGAGACGACTGTTTGTGTGGGTTCTGTTCTGTCTAGTCGCCACATAATCCCTCTCTCTCTTCTTTGTCCTCCTCGTCTATTTTTGGCTCCGTCAACGAATCAGACGAGACAAAAAAAAAAAAGAAACAGAATTTGTACGTTTCCCCCCACAGAGCGTGAAGCGATAGCAGCTTAGGTTTTGATGTGGTGACGAGAGGTGTGACATCAGAGAGATAAAAAACAAGATATTCTGCAGCTTTTTTTTTTTTAAAGCCACATGCAAACACACACACGCACACACACACACACACACACACACACACACACACACACACACACACACACACACACACACACACACACACACACACACTCTCCAAAACTAGTGATGTGTAACTTCTTGATGAATCTCGATCTGAGCAGACAGCTGGTTGATCAAAGTTAGCGGATGCGTGTGCACAACAGCATGAAAAATAAAATCTCAAATCCATGGCAAGCCAAGCGGCCAAAAAGTGACGGCAATGTGAAAATTCTTTCATAGATTTCAATCGGAAAATGAACACCATGAAGGACGAGTCAAAGGGCTTTTGAATTCAAATAAAAGGCGTGACAGAGAGAGTGCATTTATTTGAGTCTCAGTGCAGGTCGGGATCTTTACAAGCGTTCCCGGCGGCGTGCACGGACGCAGCGACCTCGGCGAGTGCCTCCGCAGCTTCGTTGTATTCTTGAGTTTCAAATCAGTCATTCTTCAGGTTTAAACGCTTCAACGTCACAAATGATTGCAGTTTGATGCCTGTGATTGTTATCGTCTTCACACTTCAAAGCGCCGCTCCATCCTTTCGTCTAAGACGTTTGTGTGTGTGTGTGTGTGTGTCTTGGTGCAGGTGGTCGGCGTGTGCAGCAGGGAGTACATCCCAAAAGGAACCCGCTTCGGACCCCTGGTGGGCGAGATCTACACGGCCGACAGCGTCCCCAAAGACGCCAACCGGAAGTACTTCTGGAGGGTGAGCTCAAAAACACACACACACTCAGTAGCACACACACTTCCTCAGAAGCCGGAGGGACCCCTTCCTGTGACGTCACACGCGTTTAAAGTCAGTCAGTGGAACAGGAAACCGGGCTGGATGTTTTTGTGAGAGAGAAAGAGAGAAAGCGAGCTGGGGATATGATGTCATCCTCGCACAAATAACATGTCGCCCTGTGGTTCTTGTAACACACACACACACACACACACACACACACACACACACACACACACACACACACACACACACACACACACACATACACTGTTCTGCAGAATGCACTCAACCCCTACCCGGAACTGACAGTGAGAGAACACACACACACACACACACACACACACACCTGCTCACAAACCACCTAAATGATCAACTCCTCCGCTGTGAGCGTGTGTGTGTGTGTGTGAGAACTCCACCACATGCTTACAGTCAAGTCAGAAAAGGTGTTCCATTCATCTCTCTCACTTACTCACACACACACACACACACACACACACACACTCTGGTTAGAAAGAGAGAGAGAGAGAAGTAGAAAATGAGTCGGACTTTTCTTCCTCCTCCTCCTCGTCCTTCTCCTCGTCCTCCTCCTCGTCTTCTCTCATTTCGATGAAGACGAGGGTGAAGCAGAAGTGACGGGGACGCGGTGAGGAGTTAAAGGACGGCGAGATGAGAGACGAGATGTTTTAGTTACCTCTCTCTTCAAACTGCTGAAACTCTGCGTCTCTCCCTTTGTTTGTAACTCGGTGAGTTTTTTACTCACTGACCTTTGTGTCATCGCTTCTTAAGAACATCGACTTCAACATTTTATTTATCGGGTAGGAAGTATCAGTGTGGTCACTACCCGGAGCTCGCAAACTTTTTTGAGTTTAAAGCCGATTAATAAAAAGCGCTGAAGGGAGGTAAAGGAGGATTTTATTCCCAATCTGTTGCCTTGAATTCAGTCACTCACCCCGTTTCTTTCCTCTCTCCAGATCTACGCGAACGACGAGTTCCACCACTTTGTCGACGGCCTGGATGAGACTCGCTCGAACTGGATGCGCTACGTGAACCCGGCCCACTCAGCGGCGGAGCAGAACCTGGCGGCGTGTCAGAACGGCATGGAGATTTACTTCTACACGGTGAAGCCCGTCCCCGCCGGCGCCGAGCTGCTCGTCTGGTACTGCCACGACTTTGCCCGACGGCTGCACTACCCGCCGTCCGGAGAGCTCATGATGCAGAAACTCAGTAAGTTAGTGTGTGTGTGTGTGTGTGTGTGAGTGTGTGTATGAGTGTGTCCTGTCGCCGCTCTTAAACCCTGACAGTTTTTTTTCGAGCGTAGCCGTGTCTCCTTCCTCTCTGAACGTTAGCCTGTCATTATCTCTCACACACACACACTCACACACACAAATACACACAAATACACAAGAGTACAAGACCAACAACCTTTCATCTCTGTCAGTGCCATCGTTGTGTGTGTGTGTGTGTGTGTGTGTGTGAGACGGTGACAGTGTAATTACACAGACGGTGGGGGATATGGCCCCTAATGCCACAGTCTTACTCTCTTAAAGAGCCGCTTTTAACATGAAAGCTCACACTCAAACACACACAGCCCTGCTCAACCTCAATAAAAGGAGCGGAGACACAGTGTGTGTGTGTGTGTGTGTGTGTGTGTGTGTGTGTGTGTGTGTGTGTGTGTGTGTGTGTGTGTGTGTGTGTTGTGTGTGTGTGTGTGTGTGTGTGTGTGTGTGTGTGTGTGTGTGTGTGTGTGTGTGTGTGTGTGTGTGTGTGTGTGTGTGCGTGTGTGTGTGACCTTTTTATGAAGGAAGAGTAATCGCTCTGCAGACAAACCCGACTTCATTAACTACGACTAAGTTTCTTCTTCTGTGGTTAGCGTGCACATATTCGGACATGCAGCACTAATTCCAGACCCAAACCCCCCCCCCCCCCCATCACATTCATGACAGTCAGACTAACTGCACTTATCCACTTTGGGCCGAGCTGATCAAAGAGCGAGCGAGCTAAGAGGAAAACAAAGAGAGAGAGAGAGAGAGTCTGAGCTCAGGGGTCTCCAGGTGTGTCTGCAGGCTAATAGCAGTGTGAAGGTGGCAGAGGGACCAGCAGACCCAGTCTGGGCGACTCCACTGCCCAGGGAAAAATGCGCATGACCTGGGGGACAGAGGCAGGAGGTACCCAGCCCCCCCCTCCTCCTTTGGCCACCCCACTCTCTGAAGCCTGTGTGTGTATACAGTATATTGTTGCCTTTAATTAGCTTCCTCTGTCATTTAGCCCCACAGGCTCCCGTTGACCTGCCGCTGACTTCCATACTGATGTCAACCTGCAGCTCAAACGCTCACCTGCACTTGGATGCGTTCACTTTAAAGCTCCAAGTTTAAGCAGTGATTGATAAAGTATTCAACAGTTTCACTGAAGTAGAAGTAGCGATACACCGGTGTTAAAATAATCAGGGATCAATTTTTTCTTTGAGTGAAGTTTGTGTATTCAGTTCAGAAAATATAGCTTAGACTTTCATAGAAGTTCTCTTCTCCAACATAAAAATGTAACTACCAAATCCACATAGTGCACCTTTAAAGTAAAGTACAACAAAACGAACTAGTCATTAAACATGTGATTCTTTAATTAACTGTAAATGCTGCTGAATGCAGAAGCTATCGTTTCATAGCTTCTTCATTAAGGAGTCCAGACCCTGGAGGTCTTGTTGAGACCGGATGAGTGAAGAGTTGATGATTCTGTGAAGATGGGCGGCGACAGGAAGAGAAAGAATCCTATTTATTTTTTGACTTCTGTCTGTTCAGTGATTGTTTCCTAACATGAGTCAAACTTGTGACCGTTGGTTTTGGCTCTAAAAACAGAGTCAGAGAAAATTCTCAAGCGCTGAGTAAAAGCAGGAAGAAAAACCCCGATGTGTCTGAGTAACACTAAAGTGAAAAACCACGCACCGTAGGGCAAAAGGTAAAAGAAGAGAGCCATCCAGTGATTTCAGTCAGCTGCTTAGAAGACATTTTAAAAATATCAAGCATCTCTGTTTGAGACATCATCATTCTGAGATCTGAACGCAGTGACAGTTTCATATCCAGCGGAGTTCCACGTTTCTTATCTGAATCATGTTCTTCATGTTTTTGGCTTTTTGCTCTTTCCACCGAGTCAAAGCAAAACTAGACATGTAAGTGTGTTGACATCTGCGTGTGTGTGTGTGTGTGTGTGTGTGTGCAGCAAAATGACTGAGCGTGCACCACAGTCTCACTCCCTCACTTTCTCCTCTTCCTTCATCTTCTCTCACTTTTTTTGTCGCCGTCATTTAGCTTTCTTGAAGTGATAGCACTTGGAAGCACCTGCCCACCGTGTGTGTGTGTGTGTGTGTGTGTGTGTGTGTGTGTGTGTGTGTGTGTGTGTGTGTGTGTGTGTGTGTGTGTGTGTGTGTGTGTGTGTGTGTGTGTGTGTGTGTGTGTGTGTGTGTGTGTGTGTGTGTGTGTGGTGTTCAAAGACGCTCTGCTCTACTGACAAAAACACTCTCTCTGATGACACACTCACCCAGAGTCATAAGACATGCCAACACATTCACACCCACTCTTTTCATCTCAGACACATGCTAGCTCACACACACACACACACACACACACACACACACACACGAACTCGGTGCATGTGTGAGTGTGTCGGCCATTTGCTCTGATATATCTGCCACTTGAAAAGACCAGAAAGGAGAGCAGAGGAGGAGGAGGAGGAGGTGGAAGAGTTGCACCTCCCACCTCCTCTGTTGACTACTTGAACTTCCTGGCAGAAGGGCCGTGTTGACAGATTGATATCTCCAAGATGGCGGTCCTGTTTGTTTTCTGGAAAAGAGGGAAGGAGGAGGAGGAGGAGGAGGAGGAGGAAGGCTAACTGATAACCTCAATGTTTACACTCTGCCGCTATACTATTGATGCAAGTGTCACCAGCTGTGTGTGTGAGGCGGGGGGGAGTGGGGGGGATCGAACAAATTTCATCAGGGCTTGCACTCAAGATTAACTTTGGAAGAGTGTGTGTGAGGAAGAGTTGTCACACACACACTCTTCCTCACACACACACACACTCACTCCCTCAGGTTGACCTCGTAGTAAAAAGTCTACTGGGCAGTAAATGAGCTTATAGATAATAGACGGCGGCTTTTTAAGGGCCGGTCTGCAGCCGTTTAAGGGGCCGAGATGTCCCGCTAACTGACTAACCCCGGGCTTTTAGAGTGTGTGCATGTGAGCTCTCCTCCTAATCCGCTCTTTCATCATGTCGAGGACACAGAAGGTGCGAGTGACTGAGGAGGAAGCTCTCCGGTGTAACCTTTGGCCCGGAAACAATAGCAAACGGCCAGGATCAAAAAAAGTGTGTGTGTGTGTGTGTGTGTGTGTGTGTGTGTTCTCTAAAAGTGGAAGAGCAAACGAATCAGACAGAGGCCTTTGTCTGCAGGCGCCTCCGTGTGTGTGTGTGTGTGTGTGTGTGTGTGTGCACCCTGTCACATGGTGGAGGGCAGGTGGGGGGCCAAGCTTTTGCAGAGGGTATCTCCAGCAGGAAACCTTCCATCAGCCCTGCCACCATTTTGATTTTATCTTGATTTTATAAGCACACACACACACACACACACACACACTCAGGTGTAAACACACACAATGCCCAAAGGCAGCTGTCACGCCTCACTTCCCGTCTTTTGCCCCCCACCCTTGCCCCTCATGCTCGTTCGTCAAGACTGTCACCTTAATTGGCCCACTGAGTTACTTATGGTGTTCTTTAACCCTCCGACACACACACACACACACACACACACACACACACATTGTTTTATCTCTGCAGAGAGGGATTGCTTTGAAGAAATTTGAGTTTTAATTGGTGATTTTAAGATGAAGCGTTTTCCTTGTGGCCAATGATTCTGGTGCGGACTCTTGGAAATGAGTCCAGTTGTAGTTGACCTCCCGCTGACCCCCCCCTCCCTTCTCTCTCTCTTTCTGTCCCTTCAGAGCAGTCCCTCTTGGAGGTCAAGCAGCAGCAGGTGAACAGTGAGGAGCGATCAGCCGGAGCCTCCAGCCCGTCCTCCGTTGCGGTGACCCCCAACCCGCCCAAGAGGGAGCACAGCGTCCTCTCCATTCTGCGTGGCACCCCCTCCTCCTCGTCCACAAAGAGGGAGCCGAGTCGGCCCCTTCCCACCCGCCCTCGCTGCGCCGACAGCCCAGAGCGCCCCCTGTACCCCCGCGCCCTCTACCCTGCTCTCAGGCCCCATCATCACATCCCTGACGACTTCCTGGGGCACAAACCTGGACAGATTGGTTACCCCGCAACTCGTTCCCCCGGCAACCAGTCTTCAGCCACACCCAGCCCGTCGGCGAGGAGCAGCCCAGAAAGCAGCCCTCAGGGAAGCCCCTCGGGTCCATCCCCAGTTTCCTTCTACCCCACCAGATTGGGTTCCTATCCTGGTTACTCCCCGCCATCTGCACCGCTCTCCTCATCCTTCTACCCTCCTGGAGCCCCCTACCCGCGCTATCTCCTGCCCCATCACTACCCTCTGCCCGGGGGCGGTGTCCCCGCTGTTGGAGGAATCTTTCCGAGGATGTACCCCCTCTACAGCAGCCTCCTGCCGCATCACGTTCCCCTCCTGCCTTCTGACACAGCAGGGAGGCCGCCCTACCTGATGCCAGAACCAGTCCACCCCTCGTCCATCTCCTCCCACAGAGACTTCCTCCTCCCCGGGCCCACCAGTGCCTTCTCAGCCGCCACTTCCCTGAAGGATAAAGCGGGGCCTCACCACCTTTATGCCGGGCACCCCCATCATCATGGACCCTCCCATGCACCCTCCCCAACAGCAGGCACAGCGCCCCCCAACGAGCGGATGCCCACCAAGCCTACCTCAGCCCTGCTGGGCGATTCAAGCGACGAGGAGGCCATCAACCTGACCAAGGTGAAGCGTGGCATCGGCTCGGCCGGCTACAAGGCGCTGCCGTACCCGCTGAAGAAGCAGAACGGGAAGATCAAGTACGAGTGCAACGTGTGCAGCAAGACCTTCGGACAGCTGTCGAACCTGAAGGTGAGGCTCAGGCAAACAAGTTACACGTAAACCAATGGACTGTGTTCTTGTGTTCCCCCGTTCTGATATTCTAGTCAGTGCCTAATCAGAGCTGTTTTGTTTCTTCTTCTTCTTCATGCTCAGGTTCATCTCCGTGTGCACAGTGGAGAGAGACCTTTCAAGTGTCAGACCTGTAACAAAGGCTTCACCCAGCTGGCTCACCTGCAGAAGCACTTCCTGGTCCACACCGGGGAGAAGCCACACGAATGCCAGGTGAGAAACGGTGCTGAAGATGATGCCTGATTTCCTAGACCAGTGATTCTCAAAGTGGGGTCCCAGGACACCCAGCGGTCCGCGAACCATAGCTTGGGGGGTCCCCGGAATAATTTACAAACAATTGTAAAAGTGTGCTTTATCATTGAAAAAGCATATCTACAAACCGGAACTTCTTGCACCAATAAAGTCAGCTATTTTGTCCGATACTCCCGCCCACTTTAGTTTTCTGCCATTAGATCAATTCTGATATGATCGTGACATGTCTGTCACTTCACAGTGCGCAACGATAAAAAAAAAAAGCTCAAAAAAAAAAAAAACACCTTGGAGACAACATTTTCTCCAAGTTTAGAAAATGAATTACTTGGAAAGTATAAATGTAGCCTAATTCTATCGTTGCAAAGTACTACATAGTACATTATTACATAGTATTAATGTTATGCTAATCAACGTTACGATAATGAGGGTGTGCTTTTCTCATCTGAAAGGGGTCCATTGTCTAAAAAAAGTCTGAGAACCCCTGTCCTAGACAAATGAGTGAATAACCAGACATGAGGACTAGATTTAGTGTTTCCACAAGCCGCTGATGCATTTTTGTTTTTGTCTGCTTTGGCAGGTTTGTCACAAGCGCTTCAGCAGCACCAGCAACCTGAAAACTCACCTGCGCCTGCACTCGGGGGAGAAGCCCTACCACTGCAAACTCTGCCCGGCCAAGTTCACCCAGTTCGTCCACCTCAAGCTGCACAAACGCCTGCACTCCCGCGAACGTCCGCACAAATGCTCCCACTGCCACCGCCACTACATCCACCTCTGCAGCCTGCGGCTCCACCTGAAGGGCTACTGCACGGCGGCTAACCCCGGTCCCGGCGGCCCGGCTGTCTCCAGCCAGGCGGCCTTGGACGAGGTGCAGCGCGCCAATGAAGAGATCGAGCGCTTTGATGTGAGCGAGCATGCCGAGCGGTTGGAGCAGCTGCAGGGCGGGATGGAGGTGGAGGCCATCTTGGAGAAGCAGGTCCTCGGGATGCTGTGGAGGGAGAGCGACCTCAAGTCCTCCCACTTTCATCCGCACCACAAGAGCAGCCCGGCTGAGCTCCTGTCGTCGGCTTATGGTGCATACGACTCCCCGAGTGAGACGTCGGTCATCAAGATGCGACGCAGCAGCCCCATCGTGCCGCTCCCCGCCCACGTCACCATCAAGCAGGAGTCAGAGGATCACGCTTAAAGTGACCTTTTAAACGAGTCGGGACTTAACCACTCCAAGCGGACTAGCTTGCCGGGTGCAACAGCTGTAAATAATGATCTCTCTACCTGGTTGTCATCAGGAGGGACATCATGAGGACTCCAGGTTTTGAACCTATCAGGGACTCACGTACTCAGGGCTCAAGAGACACTGTCCCACGACTACTTAGCAGTTTATTCTCCTTACAGACAATCATCTACCCAGGACTTACCTTTAATGTCATTAATATAATGCTATTATCATCGTTGTTGTTGAATGATTTGGTCTTTATTTTCAAATGCTTTTTGGATCAGTTAGTTGTTGTATAACCTCCTTAATTTATTACACTTTTTATTTGTCGTCTTTGAAAGCAATAAGTGGAAGGGATGGTTACACTGACGGGATGAAATCAGTGGAAACGACATTTTCTTCATGATGTTTTTGTTTCTCTTTGTGGCCATTTCTTTGTAGATGCCACGCTCCTCTATGCCTATATCCGTCCTGTGGCCTCTGACCTCTAGAAGCAGGGGGCGTCCACTCTGCAGGGTTTTGTCTATTTAAAATTGAAGAACCGGTTACAGCAGGTTAAGAAAGGGTTAAAGAACACCAGTTTGTTCATTTAGCAAGAAGAGCTTTAATCCAACCCTGCTGGATAGCTTCCCTAAAGTATGTCTGTGTCCTTCTCTGATGCCTACTTAATTTAAATGAAAGAAAAAAAAAAGGCATTTTTTTGTATATTTTCCACAACGGTTACCTCAGTGTGCATGATGCTCAATGAATGTGTGTGTGTGTGTATGTGTGTGTTTAAAGGGACAGCTGGAGGTGTGAGCTTTCTATTTATTTAAGTTTTGCTACTTGAAGGAGAAGAAAAAGAAGAAACCAAACTGAACTGGAGTGCAGCTCTTCATGTGGTCCAAAGGAGCGGTAACGACCCGCTTGACATGTAGCACATAGCGGACTCGGGGAGGCTGGATAGCCGACGCCGTCGTCCGTCCTTTTTTTGTTTAATTTTTCTTAAACACTGTCGTCATCCAGCAGGGACGTGAACGTCCTCACAATAAGGGATTCACACGCGACGCTAGAAACCAAAGTTCACTCGGCTTTAATTTTTTGAATGCACACCAAAAAAAAAAAAAAAAAAAAAAAGAGGAAAGGAAAAAGACGGGAAGGAGGACTTGAGGAATCCGCACGCTGACGAAGGGAAGACGTTCTGTGTGTATATGATGATGAAGTGTTTTGCTCTTTAGCTGTCAGCTCTCCTTTTCTAGATGTTTTTGTTTGTTTTATATTTTTTTGGTTGAGAAGCGATGGCCCCTTCTTCAACCCCACCCGTCCGCCATCTTGATAATGAACTGGCAAACACCAAAGCACCTCGGCCTTCTTTGATGCACTGGCCCCCCCCTTCCCCCCCTCTTCTTACTTTATAACTTCAGTGCCGATGCTTGCACCACTTACACTGTGTAGAACATAAAAGGAACTGGTCCTGATGGCATTAAGACTTAATGCTAGCAAAGCAGCTGTGACTTTCTGCAGCAGTTGCACATCATCTTGACCTCTGGACCTCTTCAGTCTCTCTCTCTAATGTTTGACCAAAGCGTCTCTTTCTCTCTGAACTGGGCTATAACTCCAGAGGAGAACCCCCCCCCCCCCCCCCCCCAAAGGACTGTCTCTGTTTACATTCTGGTTTACATAGTTATTTATGTGCAAAAATGTCAAAAAGTGTAAATTATGATATAAATGTTCACTGCTCTAATCTAAACCCTCTCTGGCTCCGTGTGTTTCTTATCCCTGCTGTTTCAGGAGTTTACACACACACACACAGCAGACCAATCACACACACACACACACACACACACACACACAGCAGACCAATCACACACAGGGGACAGCTTGATCATCAGCAGACTTCTGGAAACACATCCTCACACATTTCAAAGTGTTGGTCCCTACAGTTTCTACTCATCCAAGGCAAAGACAGTTTTTAAGTCATGTAAAGCAGCTAACAGCAAAGTAAAGATTCTGTAGATTCTTGAATCCAGATTCAGATTCTTTATTGTCCCTCAAGGGGAAATGTGTGTTGCAGCAGGAGGAGGACACAGAAGACAAGAAACACAAGGACAACATCACCATAAAACATAAACCAAAACTAATTTAAAAAAAATCAGGCAACACAACAAAATATAAAACCAAATAAAAACAACGCAATAAAATCAGTCAAGAGTTCATACCAACATGGGAATTCCTACCAAGTCATTAACATGCAAAGAGGAGGTGTGCAAATGTGCAATTCAAGTGCAAAAGGAGCAACAAATGGCTAATTGTTGTTTAACATCTTAATTGGTACAAATGAGACCTGGAGTCTTTTTGTCTTTGTTACAGGAGCTCTAAAACGACGACCTGAGGGTCAAAGGTCAAACTCACTGTGAGGTATGGCCTTATCTCTTATATATCCAACACTGACTTCTAGAGTTATCCAGATAGCAAACATTTGAATACATATAAATAGAGACTTCAATAATCCTTTGAGGAATATTAAACTGTTAAGCAGCTCAAGACGTCAAACCCCCCAAACATCGGACGAAGAACATCTAAGCCCCGTTTCCACCAGGCGGTCTGAATCAGTCCGGTTCACAGTTATTGACGTTTCCACGGTTAAAAGTTGCTACCAAAAGAATCGATCAGTACCGTCCTACTTTTTTGCTTCTTCTGTTTGGAGTGAAAGCGTATCAAATCTGCTCAAAGCATGAGCATGGATCGGAGCGATCACATTGGTCAAACGACCTGGACAGCAGTTGACCAAGTGCTGCGCATAAAAGAAGAAATACTGAAGAATTACAACAATTAAAAGACAACAACAAAGAAAAAACACCAGAGGACTCAAATAACTACATATTAAATGTACGTTTTGAGGCGGGACTGAGGGGGCAAATCTGATGAAGGGGGGCGGGCTGTTCCACAGTTTGACCACAAAGGTAGGATGACCTTTGACCTTTGAGCTTGAGACGAGAAACAAGGGACTTACAGGAGGCCCATAGACGACCTCAGGGGCCTAGAGGGAGTGTAAAGATGAATAAATGAAGAAGAAACAGAATAAAGATTTAAAGTTAAAGAAGTAAACTAAAGAGAGGGAGAGAGAGAGGGGGAGAGAGAAAGGGGGAGAGACAGGGAGAGAGACAGACAGAGAGAGAGAGAGAGACCGAGACAGAGAGAGAGAGAGAGAGAGAGAGAGAGAGAACAGACGATGTCCACAGGCCGCATGTTTCACTGATCACACATTCATTCACGTATTCTGACTTTAAGTTCTGCTGTAAACCAGACTCTCTCTGGTAGAAGGTCGTGAATCTTTATGTCCGTTTCCGTTTAGGACTGGAGCAGGAAATGGGAACACAGCTCTCTGTGCCTGTCGGGCTGCAATAACTGAGGTCTGTCTTTTCTCGAGGGATGCAGTAGACGTGCAGCCAGCGTGAGTCATTTAAGGGCCCATGAAGAATTTCTGTGGAATCTAGAGTTTACGTCCCGTATCTGGACTCAGATCCCCTCTGAACTTCACACTCTTTAAGAGACGTGATGAAGCACATCCCACCTCCGAGTTCTCAACGATCCCTCATAGATTAGAAGTCGCAGTTTGAGAGAGCAGTTACCTCACCTCGATCCGTTACCTCATCACCCAGCTCAAAACACTCGCTGCGCCCCCTCCCTTTGACTCAGCAGCTTTCACTTTTGCACACAGCGTCTCTCTTTTCCTGTTTCTTCGATCTTATTATTACTCTCAGGGAAACTTCTCAAGTCACCGTTGACACAGCGAGTTCCACTACCTCAGCACTGTGACGCCGGGGTTTCACAGCACTTTTCTAAGCGGGGGAGGACAACATCCCCCTCCACTGTAGGAGGGGATGGGGGGGGGGATATCCCACAGGCTTCGAAGCTTTACTAAAAACGTCAGATCAGCCTTCCACTTTCCTAAACCGAGGTGATGGTTGTTTATCTTCCAACCTTTGAATTGTAACAGACGGTGATCTCATCTCACACAGTCGACCCGTCACACAAACAGCTGACATTAGAAACCGACTGATTTGAAGAAAATTGACGCCCACATTTTAAAGTTAGAGGAAACTGGCGCCCATGTCAGGGCTGTTTGGTAACTTTGAGGAGAAGAGTGGTGTGATAGATACGGCGTCTACAGGAACTGATTTATTTGATTAATATCAGAACATCAGATAAATTTACCTCGAGGATGCACCTGGACAGGTCGGTTAGTCGATGAAGGTTGAGTAAAGAAAGATGCACACTACAACATAACAAACTTCTTCAATGACAACGAATGATGAGCCAAAGATTTTCTTGTCAGATGTTCCTGAGGTGTGATGTCGAGGCTGACATTGATTGAGGAGGACGGGAATCGTTTCACTGGGGCAGGAATCATGATAACAATAGCTTTATATACTCACACACATAACTGAATAACTCTGTTATTTTCTATCAGCTGTGGCGTCTGTTTGCTGGTCAAACATGCATGACTTGTGTCACACTGCAGGCAAACAAAGATGGATTCACACGAAGCAGGAAGAACTGATGTGGGAAAGGCAGAATTGCATCAAATGTACCTTTTCTAGGGACTAATATAGAAACCTTGAACCTGTCTGTTGAACCGACACCACAGACTTGGGGACGAGTGTCGCAGCAGGATGGGACGGGACAGGAGTGAAAAAACGCTCCCGTGTCAGCCTCTGGTGTGAGGTGAGTCATTTAGCAATGAACTACTCAGACCAAACTTTTTTTTTCTGTACGAGGCTGTAAACATGTTTATTTCTGCAGGGGTTTTTGAATGTGGGGCTGTAACTGGTGAGACTGCTGCAGCCCGCCCCAAGTGGACACTTGAGGAACTGCAGTTTTATTTTTTTGCATTTCCACATTGGTGGGTTATTTCTGAACACCGGATGTTCCTGCTTGATCGCACGCTGAATGCGACACCAGAAGCCCTGAGAAGTTGGCCAATGGTTGTTTATCGTCTGTGATTTGTTTCTGACTGCACTCGATCAGATGTTCTGTCGGACGCTGTGGTCCAAACAAAGCGGAGATCACAACAGAAGAACTCGCAGACAGAAGGTCCCCTGGACAGAGACTCTGAAAGGCCTCTGATCAGGCTGCAGTGTCAGACTTTGAGGCTACAGCTGACAGTCGACAGTAAACAGCAACAGCACTGCTGGCATCTTTACAGAGAACACACTCGTGATTTATGTTCACACACACACACACCCCCAGCCCACACACAAACACACACACACACACTTTTAAAGAAATGCATAAACACAGGAACACACACCAGGAAGGGAACATGCACTTACTGTACAAATACAAATAAAAACACGTGTTCCGGCTCATGTAATTCCAAACACACACCGTCGAATACATGAATTATTGAGACGCAGTTTATTATTCGTCTTCTTTAATGTCTCCGCTCTCTGAGTCATCATTTGTCTCTCGGGAGATCAGTTTCCCCTGAAATGTTGTGAATTGTTTCTATCATAATGAAACCATGAGGCAAACAAACCCCTCAACACCCACACAAACACGTTGATACACACACAAACACACACACACTCACACACAGTCTTCGTCTCCTCTGAGCTGCGTTCCACAGTGACGCCACCGAAGACGTTTTTCGGAAAAACTAACGCCGTCTATTTTACCGTAAACACGTTGAAGCACATCATCACGTCGGTCAGACGCAGCACAGGGGGGGGTCACTGGACCGGACGGGTGACTCAGACTCATCAAACCGCCCCCCCCCCCCACCCGCCTCCTTTCATCCAACTTCCCTGAAATTCATTTCTCCTTCCCAAAACTTCGTGACAGGATGTCGCCGCCTTTTTTGGCGTTCGACAGAGACGCTGATGGTACAGAGTAATGAAAGTGGACGAACGCAGTCAAACTTTAAAGATGTGAAAATTAGACTTTCAAACATCACATCGACTCCGGTAACTAATGAAAAATATTTCAAACACATTGAAACACGATGGAGACCTCTGGGGGACAAATGAAGACCACATCTCCCATAAATCTTCTCGCTGCCTGTCACCAATAAGAGGCTTCCTTTTTGTCTTTACTCAAAAGAAAGAAAGATGTTGGGCATATTTTGTCTTTGGTATTTGTTTCCTTTCA